CCATTTTGTATCTGTGTATTCAAAGTGGTTAGGATAGATATATAGTTACATTCTCTTAATGAATAGAATGATTTGTTCTAATGGTGTTTATAAATAGGATCTCAGGTCCGCATCTTGTACAGCAATTAACCACTAAGAAGGATATATGCAGTGTGTTAATTATTGAAACTGTCCTAGTGATTTGATTTGAAACTGTCTCATTTCTATTTGTTTATCAATAAAATTATGAAAAAAAAATTTTAGTTTAGATAATTCGATGTTTCAGTAAAAACTGCTTCCTTAGTGTCTTATAATCAGGACTGGGAGAAAAAGTAAAGAGAAATCTGGGAGAGAAAGCAAAGAGATCAGAAATGGCTGCCTTTGTTGAGGCCTCAAAACAGACCCTAAGTCTGATTCTTCAAGAAGAGCTCAATGACAATGAGGTTCCTCTACTGATGAGGTTCACCTTCTATTGCTGTCAAAAGCCAGGCCAGCATATGAGGGACTGGCTTAGGAGGCCCACAAGCCATGCCCTGACTGCCAAGGCATCCACTAGAAGTGAGACTGCACTCTGAGGCAGAGGCCTGAGAGCACAGACTCAGCTTCCCAAATGGCCCAGTAGGACAAAGGGCCCTGGGCCTGCCTCCCGCCTCTGGCCAGACTGTTATCTCTACCTGTCATCTCCACAGAGGAGTCCTGAGTAATCATACTAAAGAAAACTCCAGCATATTGTTGGACATTGCACAGGTCTCTTTTTCTTTCTCCAACTCTGATCTTCCTTCCAGTTATTCACCTTAATAAAAACAAACTTTAGAAGACATCTTGCTTTAGCTGTAACTGAGATGCTTCAATATATATTCAGGTTCAGGTTGCTAACTAATCAAAATTATGCTAAGACTAGTTTTTACAAATGCAATATATTGTTCATGTATAAGACTTAAAAAGTATTTTGCTGCTTAAAATATGTTCCCAAGGGCAAATAAAATCCTGTCAGTGTAAACAAGTTCTAAAGACACTGGCTACACAGCGTCCAATAGCTTTGGGCCTATAGACAGAGCCAGGCCTTACATTTGTGACATAAAACTCAGAGCCAAAGTGTTAAAAGGATAAATTCCTCAGCAGTGCCCCTTGCTTATAATGGGGAACATATGTAAAACACTGAGTGGGACATTGGTTTAATCTGAATGCTATGCATTTCATTGTAAGTGTATTAAGTTAGCATAGTTGATTTCTGATGTAACTCAGGTAGTTCATGCTGACAGTTAATACAGGTGTGACCTCTCTTAACTAGC